GGACTGAACTCAGGGGCATTGAACCACTGAGACATATCCCCAGCCCTATTTTGTTTAGGGACAGGGTCTCACTGAGTTGCTTAGCACCTTGCCATTGCTGAGGCTGGCTTTGAACTCGTGATCCTTCTGCCTCAGCCTCCCAAGCTGCTGGGATTATAGGCATGTACCACTAGGCCAGCCACAGCCCTTGTTTTTAATTGATTGATTCATTGATTGATTTGAGATCGGGTCTCCATAGGTTGCTTAGGGCCTTGTTAAATTGCTGAGGGTAGCCTCAAACTTGCAATCCTCCTGCCTCAGACTGTTGATTCGCATGGGTTAAAGGTGTGTGCCACCATGCCCAATGAATGCAAATTTCTATTCTGCAGCCACTGTCCCACAAAGTTTCTTGTGCTAATCCAGAAAAGTAAATGCAGAGTAAATGGTAATGACATTCCCACCCCAAATTGCTCAGGTACACAGTTATTTCTAACTTGTTGAAATATTATAGAATTAACTAAGGACTAAGATCAGGACTCATCTATGGGAGGTTTGCTGGGATAAGCTTTCCTGGGGAAGGAATACATCAACCCTCTATAGGGCGGAGAAGTCTGGGTTCATGACAACTTCAAATCTGTAGAAGCTGAGTTTTAGCATGAGATTATAGTAACGATAACCTCACTTCTGAGCACATAAGCCAGTCATCCTGGGAGGGCACCTGTTCCCCATCTGTGAAAGCCCTTCCTGGAAAGTGCCACCCAGAAGTGGCAATGGAATCAGTTGTAGGGCTCCCAGTGCAGTCAGCCAGACTTAAAAGCAAGGGTACTAGTCTCCTATCTATGAGATAGTGTAGGGATAGGCCAGAAGATGCCTGTCTACTGGGCATGAGAAACATGCTCCCAAGGACAAATTGTACTTAATATTTAACCAATTAAGTTGTAGTTTGTAAGCATTCTGAAGGTGTTATTTGCATTTGGGGCCAGTATAATTCTTCATTGAGAGAAACTATCCTATGCATTTCTGGTCATTTAGCATCTCTGGCTCCTGCCTACTAAATACCATCAACCCAACCTAGTCGTTGTGGCAACTAGAAATGCCCCTTTGCATTTCTTTTTTTTTTTTTTCCTTCTATCCTTTTTTCTTTTTTTTTTTTTAAGCATCAGAAATTTATTGGTTGCTCAAAACATTACATTGATCTTGACATATCATATATCATACATTTGTTTCAAATGGGGTATGAATTCTTATTATTCCCTCGTGTACAGATTGCAGGATCACGTTGATTATACAGTCACGTTTATACATACTGCCAAACAAGTGTCTATTGTATTCTGCTGCCCTTCCTATCCTCTATTATCCTCTGTCCCCTCCTCTCCCCTCCCCTCCTCTCCCTCTACCCCATTTACCATAACTCATTTCTCTCACTCTCTCTTATTTTTTTTTAATTTATTTTTTTCCTCCCCTTTGCCTCACATCCTCTTACATGTATTTTTGTATAACAATGCGGGTCTCTTTCCCTCTTCCATGCAATTCCCCTTCTCTCTCCCTTTCCCTCCCACCTCTGGTCCCTGTTTGATGGTAATCTTCTTCTCATGTTCTTCCTCCCTGCTCTGTTTTGAGTTGCCCCTCCCCCCTTATATCAAAGAAGACATTAGGCATTTGTTTTTAAGGGATTGGCTGACTTCACTTAGCATAATCTGCTCCTTTGCATTTCTAAATGCCCCTGTTTGGGGAACAAGAATGCAGTGCACAGTATCAATGTTTGTCAAGAACCAAGGATTAGCTGGGTACAGTGGAACAGGCCTGTAATCCCAGCGACTCTGGAGCCCGAGGCAGGAGGATCGAAAGTTCAAGGCCAGCTTCAGCAACATCGAGGCCCTGAGCAACTCAGTGAGACCCTGTCGTCTCTAAATAAAATACAAAATAGGACTCAAGATGTGGCTCAGTGGTTAAGTGCCCTGGGTTCAATCCCTGGTACTCCTACCCCCCCCCCCCAAAAAAAAAACACCCAAGGATTAAAAAAAGTATTATTTAAATAAAATACATCTGAAACAAAACTTGTTGAAAAAAATCAAGAATTGCTTTCACAATGTGAATCATTTAATTCACTTGTTTTATGTTACTTTCTTGGTTATTTAGTAAAATATTAGAAGTTCATCAGAAAGAGAAGTGTCTGTGATGAAGACAAATGGCTCTTTTGAAGCCCTCAGCATGTTCGATTTATGGAAAATCACTATGAATTTTATTTTTCACTGTATTCCTTTTTTTGTATGAATTACATATTTTGATTCCATGCTACCGAGGTGTGAAATAACCTTAGGGAGTCAGAAAATTTAGCTGTGCTCATTTTCTACATAACACAGGGAGGTTATTTAGCATGCCAAAATAAAGATGAGGACAGTTTTGAAAGTAAATCATTGCTTTAGTTACCTGGACTTCTTCTTAAGATGGACTGCCGGACAACATCAGTGCCCAGAACATTCACTTGCTTGAAACGCTTTGCCTTTTCTTCAAAGAACCATTCACCAGTTATAATCCTTAGCTGCCTTCTCAAGGGAAAAAGGCAGAGTATTAAAATTTGATTATTCAGCTGCATAATTAACTCTCAAAAACGTCTAATGAAGTAAAAATAGCTACTTAAGGAGTCGATCTCAATCTCTGTAGTATTTTATAGTGACAATAAAAGACACTACTATATTAATCAAATATATGTATACTATCTGCTAGGTACTTGTTAATGACTCTTCATACTTGTTCTGTTTTGATTCATAACAACTTGTGTAAATCTCCATTTTTATAGCTGAGGAAACAGAAACCTACAGCAATAAAAAAAAAAATGGCATATCTCACATAACATAGCTGGTAAATATTAGAGCTAGAGTCCGCTCCCAAATAGTCTGGTTTAGGGCTCATGTTTTTTCTTACCTGCTACATTATTGGGGAGAAATAATAATAATAATAATTATTATTATTATTATTACTACTATTACTACTACTACTACTACTATACTACCAGGGATTGAAACCCAGGGTGCCTAACCACTGAGCCACACCCCCACCCTTTATATTTTATTTATATTTTTGGTACCAGGGATTGAACTCGGGGCACTCAAACACTGAGCCACATCGCCAACCCTATTTTGTATTTTTTTAAATATATATATTTTTAGTTGTAGTTGGACACAATTCCTTTATTTTATTTTTTTAATTTTTATGTGATGCTGAGGATCAAACCCAGTGCTTCACATGTGCTAGGTGAGTGCTCTACTGATGAGCCACAACCCCAGCCATATTTTTTTTTAAGAGACAGGGTCTTGCTAAGTTGCTTAAGTCCTCTCTAAACTGCTGAGGCTGGCTTTGAACTTGTGGTCCTCCTGCCTCAGCCTCCTGAGCAGCTAGGATAACAGGGGTAACCAGGCAGGAAGTGATCTTTGATGTAAGCAATGAGGAACAAGTGAAGATTTCAAATGATACAGGGATTACAATTAGATTCAAATTTAAATTTTCTTTTTTCCCCTTTTTTTCTTCTCTTTTGGTTTGTTTGTTGGTTTGGTGCTGGGGATGGAACCCAGGGCCTTGCACCTGCTAGGCAAATGCTCTACCTCTGAACTACACCCCAGCCTAGAAAGATTTGTTGATGCAACATGAACGCTGGATTACAGTAGAGAATAAAGACAGATTGGCCATTGTAGTAGCCTAGGAGGGAGGGGACAGAACCCATGCTAGGACAATGGCCAGACTAACATGCTAAGAGCCACAGCCAAGTAATATGATGCATGGCATTTTTGGTTGAAAGGTGATGCCAGCTAGCCATCGAGATGATATGATTATGTTAATATCTGCATTCATATGGATATTGGACTCCTGCTGTCCACCTCGGCCTGCCACAGGACTCCTGAAGAGTTCCCATTGGTTGGGGAAGTGCAGTAGGAGGGAATTCCGGGGGAGGAACCTCCTCTGGGGTGCCAGGAGAACGCTGCGTGAGTGGATCCGCAATCTTCCCGGGCACGTACTGGGGCATTGGGCAGTTTCAAAAAATAAAGTTTGTTCCTGCTTGAGTGGCTCGTGATTTTGTGCCCAGCCAGACTGCGGCACTAACAGACACGTTCAAAATGCAGGTGGTAGAAGAACCTGCTTGGATTTTGCCATTGATTGAAAGTTAAGATGGGAAAGGATATTTGAGTAGCCCTTTCCATCTTTTAAGCCTTACCTGCCATGACTATGTGAAATCATCTCCCGTCTTCCTTCCTGAAATGCCTATTACCCTCTTCTTCATTTGCACTTCTCCTATGACCTATAACATTTTAAACTTTATTTTAGAGTTATATCTTCCCAGGCTTTTCGATACCTACTGGGCTATAAGCTCACTGAGAGTCAATTTCTGTATGATTCATCGTTCTCCCTGGTACCCAGAAGAGAGTTTTTCATAAACTGTGCTCTCAAGTACTACTTTAAAAATGAATGTTTGACTGCTCCCCACCACTTTAACACATTACTCTTTTCACATCCTCACAGCCCTCAGTACTATCAGTGGCATGAGGGCAAGAATCTTGGTTGTGTTGTTCACCATCTCTAGGAGAAGTACTTCGAACTGTGCTTAGTAAATATTTGTGGAATGAATTAAGACATCTAGAATTCAACCTATAGCAGCTGTGCTGCTATAAAATCTATTTTGAGCCGGGTATGGCTGCACACGCCTGTAATTCCAGTGACTTGGGAGGCTGAGGCAAGAGAATCAAAAGTTGGAGGCCAGCCTTAGCAAATTAGCGACACCCTGTCTCAAAATAAAAAATAAAAAAGGCTGGGGATGTGGCTCAGTGGTAAAGAACCCCTGGGTTCAATCCCCAGTACTGTGATAAATAAAGTCTATTTTCAAGCTTACAAAGAGAATTTTAACAATCACAGAAGTCATTCGGTAGTCTAAACAGATTTCTAATTAAAAAGGAAGAAATGTATTTAGCTACTTAGGGATCATTCTGAGAATGGTAAATAGGCCTGTGCGACTAGGGTAAAGAGTTTGTGGAGGAGTGTAGTGGAAAGTGCAGTTGAAAGGTAGGCTTGGGGCCATGTAATGGAAGTCTGAATATCATACAAAGGAGCCAGAATGTCACTGTGGAGGCGATGGGGTACTCAGGCAGTTTTTCTAAAGTTCAGATTGGATATTGTAATCTCTGGAGAAATATAAGAGAAGAGAGAAATCAAAAGAACCAAGCAGGCCAATTAGGAAGTTATTGCAATAGTCACGATAGGAAATGATGAAGATATAAATCAGGTTTTCACGGGGATGAGGGGCAAAAAGATGAGATTAGCAAGAACTGGTGATAAGTTGAATGTGATGGCTGAGAAAAGAAACAGAGTCAAATAGAGGTATCTAGCCTGAGAGTATTATATCCACGAAATTTAGCAATTGGTTGGATTATACATCAACAGCTGGATGGCAAATATAAAAATCCAGAAAAAAAAATATGTCACCCTTGTTCCCCACAGCAATTACCATGAAATCCTTCTGAATATAAGTGAGAAAGGCAAGTTATACATGGAACAAAGTTCCAATACTAAGGAAAAAAGTAAAAATGTCAACCTTGGAGAAAGCATTCATTGAAAGGCGAGACCATAGCATGTCTAACTCAGGTTTACTCCCAAGTGACTATATCACCTACTGAGAAGCACAGACTGTTAGGATATATCAAATCTAAGAAGGTCTAACCTACCAAAACCAAAAGACTTGAATATGTTAAACTATTTCTGGGTGTAGCTCGAGTGATCTATACATTTATACTTATGTTAGAAATCCAGGTGATAATTGTGGTATTTAAATGCTAAAGATGTCCTCTCAAGATTACTGCCAATCAAACACTAATGTACATACTGATGATATCAGACTTTGCAGATGGAATTAGGTTGCTAATTAGTTGACCTTAGAATAGCAAATGATCCTGGATTATTCCTGTGGGCCCAAGGTAATCATATGAGTCTTTAAAAACAGAGGAAGAAACAGAAGTCAGAAGTCAGATTGCAAATGTGAAGCTCAACATGCTGAGGAGGCTCTAAGATGTGGGGATCTTACAGGCAAGAAATGGAAAGAGAGGCCTCAAGGAATTAAGAGTGGTTCTCAGTAATAGCCCACAAGGAAATGGCGACTTCATTTATACAGCCACAAGGAACAGGATTCTGCCTACAAGAGTATCATGGAATTAGGTTCTTCCAAGAGCTGCTTTATAAGAGTTCAATCAGTTGACACCTTGATCTAAGTCTTGTGGAACCAGAAGTAGAAAAATGAGCCAATCCAATCCAGACTTTCAAGCTTATAGAATGATCAGATAATAACTTTGTATTGTTTAAAGCTGTCAAATTATGATAATTTGTTAAGCTGACAATAGAAACTACTATAATAATTAAACATAGTCAAATATGTATTTTAAAATTTATCACAGGAAAGATCTGCACACGTCACAAGAAGATAATAAGAAAAATCCAGAAGCACAATAGGGTAGAGATGGACACACTGTGGTCTGTGGGTCAAATTCACCCTACCAACCTATTTTGTCCAACATGCAAGTTAGGAAACGGTTTTTACAATTTTTTAAATGACTGGGGAAAAAATCCTGAAAGAATATTTCATGATAAATGAAAATTAGATGAAATTCAAAATTTAGTGTGTGTGAGTAAAGTTTTATTGGAAGATAGTGAGGCTTAATTATTTATGTGTTTTTCCTGGTTGTTCATGTGCCTTAACCACAAAATTGAACAGTTGTAACAGTAGACAATATAGCCCAAAAGGCCTAAAATATTTACTCTCTGGTGTTTTAGGAAAAGAAAAAAGTTTGTCTACCTCTTTAATAAGTCAGGGTTTTCACAGAATGAAAAAGACTAAGAGGAACAATATAGCTCAGTGGTTAAAAACCACCCACTGGTGACATGCCAAGGTTTTAGCTCTTTTATATATATATATTCTTAGGATAAGGTATGGAGTGAATAACATACTGATAAAAGTTTCATGCATGACAGGAGAAAGTGGGACACTTCCAGTATTCATGCCCCAGGAAATGAGCCTCCATATCACCTTTACCACTGACATCTAGAGCTGCCAACACCTAACACAAATAAGATCTTTCTAGAATTGTTAGGCATTACTTTTTGCTGTCCTTGTATTTGCTCAACTCAGTTATGTGCTTGAGTCATTTGTTCCTTTAGAGTTTCAAAACATCAGAACAATCTCTTGGGATTATACCTGAGTCACCTGTTCAAGTCCTGAAGGTAGACAGAAGCTTGGCAGAATAACAGGAAACTAATACTAATACTAAATGAATTCATACCAGGTATTGTAATCAGGTAATGTATCAAGCACATTATATATGCTATCTCTAATCCTCACAGTGAGACATCAAATAGCTATTATTATTCTCAGTTTACAGACAAGGAAAGTAAAGCTCACATGTGTTAAATAATTTGCCAAAAGTTGTAAAGGTGTTACCACAGAGACAGGGTTTATATTGAAAGCCTATACCCTTTATGTTTGGAAACTATGTCAGAAGAGAATTTATAC